GCATGGTCCTGCTGCTGCTACCTCTATTCCTATCTTGCATTAATGTCTGTCGGATATAATTCAATATCCAGCGTGGTACTAGCCGGGAAAGTAGTTGTTTTCCAGAGCCTACTGTGTGGGTAGTTGGGAGAGATAAATATTTCGAAATATTTATTTTCTTATACAATATATCTCTCCTCGATAGTTCTTACTTTAGGCTTCTTTATTCACTTAGTTGTTGTTACNAAGTCAACACATGTTTCACTATAGAATAGCTTTCTCTCTCTAGCTTATCTTGGCTTTTGCTTCCATAGGGCGCATTTAGCCAGAATTCTATCTAATTAGTGCTTTATATAATTGATCAATTTGAATCATGCGACGTTCCACCCACTTAATGATTAATAATTGTACCTGGTTTTAGGTATAAACCAAATAAAAATCTAAACATTAGGTAAAATTACTTCCTGCTCAATGACTAATCAGTTTAACTGAGTTAAGATATAAACTTGAAAATTTAAATATTAGAAAAAATCTGAGATAAAAGCATTATTCATAAAGTATAGGTACAGGTATACTTGTGATGCACTGTTTGGAACCTTTGGTGTAGTAATGAATATAACTGGAGTTTTTTCCTACTACCAAACCGTTATTTTGACACCTTGATCACCAAGTGATCATCTTCAAGACGGAGATCAAGATCAAGTTTGATCTTCCTCTTGTATGTATGTATGTTTCGACGACACTTATCCACTTACCTATGTAATGGCTTATAGTTAATTAATACATGAAATTAAATTAAATAAAACTGCATTCCAAACAAAACTTACACAGTAAATTTCCGGCTAATAAGTACTTCAAGCTCTAATAACGTATCCTGATGTTCGGGTTCACTGCAATCTGCAAGCTTATCAAAATATCAACAGATACTTTTATCACACCTCCACCAAAATCAATAGCAATAATCCATCATGTAAAAAATTCGGAAATTGCGTATAGTGTACAAGTATATCAGCTCTAACTACCCACAGTTCTTATCATTGTTGACAAACCGACACTGTTGTACACCTACTATTTAGTCGTAAACAATGCAACTCATATCAATGGCCTTCTGATTATTCACTAGTATAAATAAAAATGAAACAATTGATACTGTAGAGGGAAATCAATTAATTTTGGTCCAGTCAAGAATATAAATGAGCTCGAACAACATTTATTATGTAATAACATGAAAATCAACATACGTAAATTTGAATTAAACGGCCATAAAACATGTAGCCACGTGTGAGAAATAAGGAAAATTTCAAATAAGTCCATATTGAGAATGCAGGCAGATATATGAATTTCTGTTAATAGTGAAATATTAAGTACCTAAGGGTGTAATCTATCTTTTCATATATAGTGGAATTGGCCGATACTTGAAGAAAATACATAACAAACGTATTCAGAAAACTCTTTATAGTGAGATTTTCACTAAACGGTTTTACAAAAACGCAACAAGTGTTTCGTCATACAATGGCTTCGTCGGGCATGTCCACTGCCTATTGGTTTGGTAGGCAGTCCACTTTAGTTTGTAAATTTTCCAAACCAGTGGCTAGACAGATGTGGTCCTTCAGAATGGTCTGCTAGACAATCTGATATTTCGCCTTTACATTTATTCAGGAATTACGTGAAATCTAAAGCGTACGTTACAAAAGTAATCCATTCCAGAACTCATGCATAGAATAAAAGCTGCTTACAACGAAATTACTCCAGAAACATTGATATGGGAAACAAAAATTGACATGGGAAATCATAGACCTCATGTTGATGATAGACATTATCTTGCAGTGACAAGTGGCCAAACAGCTCGAAACCGGTCTGCAAGTGTGTCCCAACAATTGAAAATCAATTGAGGCAGTATCACCAACAGTATCCGACACCTGTCCGATATAATCCAACACCCTTCGTGGTATTAACCAGTGAAATAGTTGTTTTCTGATACATGTCAGTCCATTAACCAACAGTGTAGGTAAGACTGGCCTGAAATAATTGTTCTTTTGGATAATTTGATAAATTCATGAACAAATTTCATTATTTTGGGAAATGAATGGTAAACATTTTGAACATTTTCTAGGATAAGCAGAAGTGACTTTTGCTTGCAGATTATTAAAACTGCTGATACTCCAAAAATGGGAATGACTCTCTTTTCTATTAGAAAATGGAAGTGGATAGCGCCCTACCAATAACGAATCAAAAAGTAATGAAAACTAAGCATTTTCACGTAAAATTTGACCTAGTCCCGTTTAAAAGCTTTAGAGATTTCAAACTTTTTGAAACTTCTTGGTATTCTTCAAATATAATGTTATTAAAACGAAGTGAAGAAATCAAAAATCAAATAAAATATTCGAACATTTTTTGAGTTTATTTTTAATAAGTTGATATCAAATATTCTTTCGGAGTTTTGAGTAGGTATACATAATAATTATATTGTTCTGGAAATACATCTACAAATATAACAATTAGTCTGGAGTGCTGCCTCTAGCAATTCAATTCAAGCACCAACTTTTATAGTAATTGAAGAAAATGTGTAACTACACTGGCAGTCAACACCCACTATACGAGTATGTGAGACCTTATTTGCGAACTTCATTCAGCTATCGTTGTTATACACGCACTGCCAAAGTGCCCATGTGACCATCAGTGATAAAATTAATTAACATGAATGGTAATAAAAAAAACATCCTGACGATTTATCTTCCTATTACAGCTGGTGCAATACTCCTAAGATATGCCAATTAAATAATAGTCCACTCAATTATTTACGAAATGATGTATTTGATAATAGTTTTAATTGCATATTAGTCAATTGTTCTACTATGTATATGAACTTTTCAAATTTCAATGATTGATGAAATCATTAGTTGAACAAATTGTTAATAGTTGTTTTTATTTAATAAATATAGACATTTCATTTGAAACTCATCATCATACTCATAATAATTAAAGAAGGGTTTGTTATATAAGAGGGTTAGGAATATTATGGTTTAGTAACTCTCCCATACTATAGTAAAACTTCATCTCCGACCAGCATAAACATGCTGTTGTGGACGGAATAATCAGTAACTTTTTGGCACTTGTGCCGTAAAGTGGCAGATCCGTTTCAATTGAAAGGTAAACAAAACTTCTTTTGTGTAGTTTTTCTGCATTTTTCTTCCATATCCGTTTAGTAAATTGATTGATTTTACTGCCTATCGTCCAACCCGTGGTGAGAATCGCACGTCAAAAGACCTCGTTTATCCTCACCTCGCACACTTTTCAGGGTTTGTATTTCGTAAGAAGGCGACAGCTGGTTCTTCAGAATGCAATTCACAAATGCCGAGCGGAGTTTCTCTCAAGTTTTTTGTTTGTCACTTGGGGACCATCCAAGTCTCCGGAAAATATTACAGACTTGTTTGTTTTCCTGTACAATATTGTCCTTTCTTGGATGTTTATCCCATTCTTTTATTCTTCTAAATTGCTTATCTCCTTGTAAATGTCTTCGATATACATCGCTATTTTTTAAGGACAATGTCCAATGAGCAGCCTTGTAATTGTTCTGAGCCTATCCCGCAGTTCTTCAGTCCTTTTTTGATATTTCCCTTCACAAATTATTTCCTATGTGTATTCCCAAGTGTATCTCTACAGTATCCTTTAAGCTTCTTTGACCCATTCCTCGATTTTGTCAACAAAGTTGACAAAATAAGTTTCTGACATACTCATTAACTTCTTCGTTATCTATTCCTAAGTATCTATGCACTCAGTATTAAAGTCATTCAATTTCGGCCGCTCAAATTTCTTGTTCTTGTCTTCAAAGACAGATGAGTTGGTAGCTGAAAGGTAAACATTTCTTGTAGAAAGTAATTGCGGTGAAAGAGTCTTCGAAGTCTCCATCTATATCTACATCTCCCATACTGCAAGTCATTTAAATTTGACATGTTAATGTTAGAACCTGCACTCCAAAAAGTCTCTCTGGAATAAGGACTGGTTGGCTTGCATTGAGAAGAGGTTAACTTTTTGCTAAGGTATTATATAGTAGGTTTTCTGTTTGTTATGATTTTTGGAGAGTTTCTCTCGAATACTGTTTACTGGAAAATCAGGATTCGAAATTTGAGGCCCACTAGCAGCTTGATACGTATTCTTATCAAAAGATGAATGTGAGCAGACAAGGTGTGTTTGGAAATCATATTGAAGTAGAGAATATCTCATATTGAAATAGATAATATCTTGCTATAACTTTGTGAGCAGAACTTTCAAAGTTTGAATGTGCCGCTAAACGATTCCGTTAGATCGGACTAGGGATAACGGTACTAGATGTAATATTATTTTGGGGTTCCGAATTGATTTCTTATATGACACCAACATTCGAGTCTCCCAATTCCAAACTCTAGAGTTGCAGCTAGTCCTAAAATAGAAGACTGCTGGGTAAATGACTGGGCAATTTCAATAACGCCAGAGGTAAGCATATTTTTTTCGTTTATTGTTTGCGAAGTTCCAAGGGTATTTCATGTATGATGTCTGACTATTTTCTATTCCATTGATACAGTTTTTACTACATATTTTACTTATTAGTTTGCATCGAACTCATAGATCAGAAAAAATTAAGTCTTTCTAATTTTTTTTATACCTTACGAGATTTTTTTTCAGGAAACTAAATTATGAATTCTTGAATGAAGAATATCATTAAAAAACCTCGGTCTTACCACCCGAAGACGATTGTGGATACTAACAATCGAAACGTCGTGACATAACTTGGTTTGGAATCTTTTAATTTTGATTTTTCATTTTTTTTCAATATTTTTAATTTTCAGCTTATATAAATATTTCAATTTTTTATTTTTTGTTATTTCTTGTATGTTANCATGATTCAGCAATTGAATAATACATTAACTACAGTATTTCTGGAAGATCTTTTTCTTTTGTATTTCCTGAAGTAAATTGAAACACCACTATACTTATTAAATTCCAGTAAATTCACATTAAAAATTTACATTAAAAAAAAAGAATAAACAAAATCACTTTATTCAGAAAACAGATGAAATAAAATCAGACATACTTCACTAAAGTATAAATATTTCTTGTTTCGCGTTCTTCATCCAATAATCTATAATCTAATGCGCATTTATTCCTCTCTTCTTTCATGTTGACCATATGATACAGTTGACTCTGGAACAATACAATAATGAGGCATCATTATATAACATTATATAACAAGCAAGGTTTTGGTCCATAACATTATTTATATACAATGTTCTTAGGTGAGCTGAGGTTAAGTCAAAATTATTTAACAGCTCTATGTGGATGGATTCAAAAGACCAATACAATCAGGGCCTATGTAGAAATAGTTTAAAAGAAATACATTCGGAATTATTTCAAATGCACAAAACTACAATTACCTGTAAATATAAAACATCCTTGACTCGAGAATAAGCTTCAACCTTTTTAAAATTTTTCTTGACTTTATCCAACATCCTGGTGCAATTCAAAATAACCTCTTTCCTCATATCCTCCTCCAACTTATGCGAATCAGCTATCAAGCACTTGGCATACAGTAGGGTAGCTCTAGCTCTGTCGTAACATCCTCCATGTCCCAAAATCTGAATCAAACATTTGTCTAGCACCTTCAAGGCTTGACCAGTCAATCCAATCAGGAGCAAGCAGTTGGCTATATGCAGATGTACCAATGCCGTTTGGTAGTCTAAATGAGATGTTTGAGACTCTATGAGGCAGTTATTTAATATCGTGATAATACCAGCAGGAATGGAATCGGGATGGCTACTTGCAAATTGAATTTCAGCCTTGACGATTTTGGCTCTAACATAATAATATCTACAAGAAAATATTAAATCACTTCTATATCGAAATTTTTAAATGAATTCAACATCTTAATCGTTTTGGAACAATGATGACGAAGTAAATTTGAATGACACAAAAACTAAATAGTTACCGAACGTCGGCAGTTTTTTTGGATGGCATGGGCGGCGTGGTATAATTATTTTGGTCTAATCATTATTTTTATGTAGGAGGTTTTATATGGTATTAACTGGTAAATTTATCAGAACAAGCATTAAATCACAGAAGATAGATGTACAAATTATTACAGGAAACAAAAAAATGTTGAAATGAGTGTCAATGAGAGATAGGCGAAAATGTAATAGGCTCATGAGTCGGCAGTATATCCTGGAGACTTCATCAGTCGTTTCCGAGACTTCAAGATATAACCTTCCGACCTTGAAGTCAACGCACATACCACTGATGATGTCTGCTGCAGTGGCAGACGAAACGCTTGATACTTCAGGTTCCATTCGATCACGGCACACTAGCATGGATTTCGTGCTCCCTAATCATATTTTTTCACATACATTTTCCTATAACCAAACTAATCTTAATTATAAATACCAATTCAATGAACCAACTTACACATCTTAAGGAAAATCAATTAGGAAAGGACTGCATTCACAAAAAAAATTTGTTCAAATCCTAAATAAAATTATCTGGCATTGATCTCTATTGGTATATTTATTGTTATTTCCTAGATATAATGTAAACATTCTACAGGTAAAAAGAAAGTCTAACATACCCATCGCTGAACTTATACGAATTATCGTTTTCATATTGCTTCAGTAACATTTCTACGCAATTATCAGCCTCAACATAATCTTGCTTGTAGAAGTAAACCTCTGCCAATCTCAAATATCCCTCCCATTTGTTAACCACAAGAATTTTCTGAGCAGCAGATTCGGCTTCTGTCCATTTCTCATGATATAAAGACCTTGTGAACACGAATAAATTTTCACACAACATCCAGTGTCGCGAATGTGGTTCATAAGGAAATCTTTTCTTGGCAAAACTGATAATGCAGTTCACTAAAGCATATTCTCCCTGTATCAGAAGATGGTTGGCTATGTTACAAACGGCCAGGCAAAATCCTTCTCCGTAGTATACCCTGCTTGGAGAAACGGAATCCATATTTTGATAGAGAAGCAACTGGCTCCATAGAGAAGACATTTCTGTTTTACCGTAAAGTTGCCAGAGGGAAGACTTTATGGCATGGTTGTTGGAAATCAGATCTTTATAGTTGTGTTGGCAATTGATCATATCACTCTTAGCCAAAGTCTGAAAAACAAAATTTTAATTGCAGTTTCATAAACATATACATCATTTTGTTGTCTGTAAGCCGAAAGTCAATCATGTGTAAAGATCATCAAATTTTATAATTGTTAAATGGGCTAAATAATTCCGATCCTGTGGATCTACGTGTATTCCTTCTGTCCATGACAAAAATAAAAGTATTTTTAGGAACTTTTTTAAATTCTAGACGAATTTCCCTAATACTGTAGTCATTTTTATTAATACAAATGATAAGAACCATTTTGTAGTAAAATATTTTCAAATTAGCGTGAATTATCTTGGAGAATATGACAAACGAAAATTGAAACAATCTTCAACATTCATCAAACTTATTATCCCATGAAGGAATTTATCATCAGACATGAATAATGAAAATTTTATGCTTTGACCTTATACTTGACTAATCAATCAAATTGACAAAGAAGGTTTATATTGCTACAACAAAAATCCCACACCTACCTCAAAAATTTCATATGTTTCTTGATTATGCAGGCATCCGTATTGTCCAAAAGTTTGCAACGCCAAGGATGCAGTATAGCTCAACCTTAGTTCAGAGCTTTTCAGTATACAATGAATCATAAGCTTATCTTCATTAACATTGGTGAGAAGGTATAACCAGGAAAGAGCTTGTTGTAGACAAACATTATCATTCGTTTGTTGAGATATTTTTATTGATTCTTTAAGTGCAGTGAGAGCTTCTTCTCTGAAAACAAAAAATCGTGAAGAAGAAGAATATCAACTGAGAATAAATTTTACGTGTGTCCAAAGTGATAGTGCAAGATTGCTAAATTCAGTGAAGCAAATCTAACACGTCTACTTTTTTCATCGTTGAAGCTCTTCAAGTCCGGGTCAACATTTCTATCAAAGCAATGAAGTAAACTATCAAGTGCTCCACAATATTCATCAACTCGAAGATAGTTCAAATAGGATAGAAAATGCTGAAAATGTATCAATTATATCACCTAATAGGTTTGTAGATTCAACTTACTGCTCCAGATAAATCAGGATTAGATTTAAGTATTTCCTTGATTCTTTTAAGTAACTCTTTTGGTGGTAAAGCTTTACCTTCATTAAAAGCTAACAACGATGCTTGAGTGGCTATGAACAGCTCTGCTTGCCGCCTTGACCACTGTTCTCTGTCATTACACCTTATTAGAGGAAGAATATGAAAAACAACACAGAAAAAGACTAGTGTTTTCTGAAATATATCGCATTGACATTTTGAATCTTTATGATAAAATCATATGGTACGTACATGACAGGTATAAAAATGAATTACTTTACAATCTCTAGCTGAAAGCCAATCCAGTATTCACTGAAAACATCATAAACCTGAACGATAAAACTAGCAGGAAGATACTAGACAGATACTGAAGTAATATGGTGATACTTAAGAAGCTTTACATTATGCAGTGCTCTATAAAAGCCGATTCAATATACTGAGTACAATTGAAATACCTTAAACCTGGGATTCCAATTGAAAGACTGAAATGTCATGATCATAATCTGTTCACCAGTTTTTATCTTTAATGTGACGATAAGTCATCACTTTCTATGAGCCTTAAGAAGAGGAGGTGTTGAGAAACAAACAAAATCGTTATACAATTTTGAACTCAATGAATAGCAGGTTTATGTAATGTTTCAAATAGCTAAATCTAACAGTGGAACTGAAAACTTACAGCCTTTGTGTTCAACTATAGTAAATCAATGGACTGAGAGCTAAGAGCTTAGGTCAAATAGAAAAGAGGATACTCTAAATTGGTTTATATATTTGCAAATGTGAAAAGAGCAAGAGTTACAGATTTACTGTATGTCCAGCAGGTCAAGTAAAGACGACCTGCTGGACATTCATCAGTATTAATGAGTGTACTATGTGTAATATTTTCAGCACACCACTGAGACATATTTCAAGTTGACACAATAGATTCATCTTCTGGTTCTTGTTTGGAATAAATTTGTATAGTATTCATATATCCTATTCTTTTTGAATTACTGAAGATGTCTGTAATGGATATATTATATTACCAATTGTCAACAGTTTCCTCTGCAGTATTCAAGAATCTGGAAGTTCTTCTCCACTCCTCATAATACCTTTGGAAATTCTCATACACACCAGTTACTTCAGAAAATGTTAATTTGTCAAAATAAACATTGAACCTCCTCAAATAGTACCCTAAAATAAATTCAATTAGAATAAATCGAGTAAATTCTAATTTATAACCTTTTACCTACAATACTTGATTTTGCTATAACACCATTGTTTGTAGGATCATCTGCATGGTTCATCAGTTTTTGTAAACTTTCAACAATGTCAAGTAAGTTGCCCACTCCCAATTTGTTTAAAGTGGACAGAGATTGGTTAAATGATTCAATTAACGTTTGTGGAATTAGATATTTCTTGGAGGTGAATAAGTTTCTCAACTCATGATGTGGTAGATCTGGGCTTTGTAAGAGACGTAACATCAATACAGAGAAGTCTCTGCGATATTTACAGCGGAGAACCTCATCTTCCATTCCTTTGAATTTTTCTAAAATAATGAAAAATAGTGAATTGAAATAGAATTGAGACCAAATTCTTCACCATCTTCCCGATATAGACAATAATTCCTTATAAGAATTGTCAGAGTGAGTTTATGTGGAGTTATCACTTCTGTAACAGGTTTTTTGATGCCAACAGTTTGAGTTTCTTTAGTGGATGTCATGTTTGAATACTCTCAAATAGCACTTTCTATAAACTTCAGAGTCTTTAAATATTTTTCAACACAAATGTTCATATTTTTCAAAGTGGAGAAAGACTGTTGTGAGTATTGCAATTTTGTTCACTACCTTTCATTCATTTTCTGTGTTTGTCGTTTCCTTATCAACTTCTATTAATTTTAAAAATGAAATATCCAATATATCAACAACATTCAAAATACAACATAAAAACGAAGTTAGACACAATCCATCATAGACACAATAATATGGACTGGACACTGGATGTGACGTCACTTTTACATATATTCCACCTGCAGATCACATTGCTTTACAGCATCATGTGCATGAGTGATGTAAATGCCAAGACGTGAATGTCTCCAACTTTTTTTAGTTGTTAGGGTAAATGTTCTCTCTTCAATGGCCAGTTCATATTTTTTATAACGTCACTGCATCAACCACACATCAACCACTTTGAGCACAGAACAACTAGAATCGTGGATCGTAACTTTCAGTGTTTTCATTTAGCGAACTGTCAATATACTTATTCAAACGTAGTTGTTCCGTGCGTTCCACTAAGCGCTCACAATGATCATGCTCACGACCGCAGTTTTTCCCGTTCCACTTGATTCCGAGTGTTACTGTTGTCAACTCAATTGGAATGGATTATGGAACATTCTAAGCGTTCATGTAAAAATTATAAATGGCAAGGTTGAAATAATTAAGTAGAAGTTTAAATTAGGTTACGTAAAACTTGACAGTAAGTTTCAATAATTGCAAGTTAACTTCAAATTGAGTTTGAATTTAATCAAAATGTCTTTTACAGCATTTGGAGATTTGTAGATGCATCGCAATAGTGTTCCAGAAACTAGTTCATCTACGTATTATTGATTATGCGAATATATTTCAGCGTTATTCAGATGAAGATTTCAAAATTCATTTCGGGTATATGATTTTTTATCACATATTACACTGTGAATTTTGAATGATACTCTAAATTTATGCCTCTCTTAAATTTACTCCATCAGGTGTATAATTATTACATTGATTACTTATGAGATTGAGTGAGAGTGACGTTTTCGAGGCGACCACAACGACCCCAGTCATTATGTGGAACGGTTTTAGGAGCATGTTGATTGTTGTGAGCGCGTGTGTAAAGCACGGGTTGTAATCTTGTGATGTTCTGGTTCTGTGGTTTTGGCTTGTCAACAAACAAACTAACTAACCTCAAAATCCATTTTAAAAACTCTAGTTGAGAAGAAAGTCAAATATTTTGAATTCGAAATGGTAATCACAATTTTTTCGAAAAACTCAATAGTGGGGCATACTAATTAAGTTCTGTTTCAGCTCTTCTATTCTTTTTTCAAGTCCTTGGTTGGGAAAGATGTGGTTGTTGAACTTAAGAATGATTTGAGGTATGTCCATAAGCCAAAGCCCATATCTGATATATCTGCAAATTTCCAAATTATACTTTTAATTTTTTTAGTATTTGTGGTACTTTACATTCTGTGGACCAATATTTGAACATAAAATTAACAGATATCAGCGTGACAGATACTGATAAATATCCACACATGGTAATGGTATATGATAAGTTTATGAAATTCCCCAGTGATATTTATTTTATTTGTAGCTCTCAGTTAAAAATTGTTTCATCAGAGGTTCTGTTGTGAGGTATGTTCAACTACCTGCAGATGAAGTAGACACCCAACTTCTACAAGATGCTGCAAGAAAAGAATCATCTGTACCCACTAGATAAGGTTTCTCAGAATTATCTACATCATGTTAATTTCAAATAATGTATATATGCTTCATTTTCATTAATTAAGTTCAACAAAAAGTTTTGACTTTCAATTGAGTTTATGATCATGATAATTAATAAATTGATGGATGTAGCCGTTACTACGTGGTAGGAGACCATAATGAAAAAAAGAGAATTGAAACTTTCTATGTTTTTTACCACTTTTATTTCTAACTAACGTTACTGGAGTTTCATCCTATAAGGACATTTTCAAACTTATACATTATACTAGTTTAATAAAGTGGTAAAAAACAGAAACTTTCAATTCTCTTTTCTTCATTATCTATCTATTATCTATTATTGATCTTTTCTACAGAAAATATCGAAATTGTTTTGAAAGCTTCATATAGATGTAGGAAAGGCAAAGTTTTAGTCACTGATGAGTTAGTGCATAAAAAAGGAAGGCTAAGAACTTTTGAATCAATGGTCCTCAATTCAACAAGATATCACATCTATTGTTCAATGTAAAAAATTCAGGTTCTTGATAAGTTGACAGTAAAAATGGTTTAATGCTATGATCTAAGGTAAGGGAAAATAGTATGGTATATATTTTTGATAAATTTTTTTGGGTATTTGCACCTTTCACAATCTGAAAGAAAATTAACTTATAATCTAGAAAGGACAAACTTTTCAGTTCACCCCAATAATTACTGCGTAAATTTAAACAAATTTTCACAAAGAAAACTTCCATTTGATCAGTAACCTGTCATATTCAATCACTTTACCTAGAAAAAGGGAGCCGAGAAATTGTAGATACTCATCTTCAGAATTGGAAAAACTCTACAAGGTACTTGTGTTTTTTTTCTTTAGTTTGCTTTACTCTCAAACATCCTCGGTATACGTCAGTAGAGATTTGAAATGTATCAATGTTGATTGACTTGAGAATCACTCCATGTAGTGAAAGATGTTCTCAAGAGAACTATTATATATTTTTAGTTTTATTGAAAACATCTGTACTCTATTTTGTGGAAATGAAATTGAAATCAAATGAAACTAGTGTACATAACATTAGAATTTAGTATTTTCCAAATCGACTTTCAAGAAATATTGACTTTTGTGTAAGTGTACTATTTAACCACCAAATCACTGGCATAATTATTGTAGAACCCTATGAGTAGAATAATTTTCCACTAGTTTTCTGAGAACAGAACGGATTCTTGCATCGATATGAAGAAAATGTATATTGAAATTAATGATGATAATGAAAAACAGTTATCCTATGATTGATATTTTATTTAAAATATACATAATAAAATCTAGGCAATAGTAAATCCTATATTTGGCATAAATATTTTCATCACAATCAATAATTCGACTCAGGAGAAATCTAATTCTCAACATTTATATTTACAGTTGTAATAATAATTATATCTATTCAAATTTTCTTGTTCATTTACATATATCAATGAGATTTACTGTACACTTATGATTTTTAGTTTTCACAATATTAAAATGGTTTATCACAAACGGAAATTGGGAGGAAATAAATTAATAACATTTTTGTAAAAAATCTATGGGAACACAGTTCTCAAAATAAATAAAAAATCAACAACAAAACGGTAAAAATGACTAGAAATATTTGGAATCTTGGTATTAATTACTTAAGAAGTTATGGCACCTCGTCCAACTGTGTACATTCTTTAATCGTTATTAGATCAGCATTCTCAATAAAATATTTTGCTGTCACTTCAAAGCCTCTCACCAATCTATTTCTTGTTTCAAACCCTTTGCCAATGATTACTAGGAATTAATTAATTCAAATAGGTATCCCAAGTCTAGATAGTTTAGATGACTATGAGAAAAAGAGATGAATACTGAAAGAAAATCAATATTTCAAATATAATCTGATAAGTTATTGAGTAACAAATGTTGTGTGAGGTTCTTCATTACGGCAACAAAAATATTCAATTAAAGTAATTTTTTTTGTGGAGGAAAATCAGTTTTTTATCGACCTTTTTTTGGGTATTTGTTACCTTCCACAGTCTGTAAAAATTAAAGTATTTTTCACAAAGAAAAATCTTTTATTTATCAGTAACTTGTGGTATTTAACAATTTTGCCTATCAAAAAAATTGTTAAGAAATAATACAATACTTATTTTAACGTTTCGGAGGCAAAAAATATCTGCAAAGATATGAATCCAAGAAAGTAGTTTCCTACTGACTAGGAAATCTAGGAGAGATTGTTTCTTTTTCATTCGAAATTTTGATTTTCCCATACATATTTTAGATATAAACATGGGTAAGAAATATAGGTTTTTGGTTCTGAAGTTTTCAACTCAAAATTTAAGTTATTTCTAGAGTCCTTATTCATATCTTGTGTCATGAACCCTTTACCTATTTACGACTAAGAATACCACTAGAGATGAGGCGTCACACTTCTGAATTTAATTATTTAAAATCTTTCAATTTTTCTTATTGCTCTGTACTAAAATAAGAATTCTGCATAAGATAGAGTTTATCGATGGGGTTTGCTATAGAACTAGACGTTGAAATACCCTCGTTGTGGTGGGAATGTGATTGTAGTTCTAAATTTTGTAATGATAATGTGTCTGATGTCGCTTCATCTAGCTGGTCAAAGTTTGTACTGTCGTCTAAAGATATGTCGGAACTGCAAAAGCTTTCGCCAGAGTGTGCTGGGTAGTTATCTGAAACAAAATAGATGAAAGGTTAGGATTTGGTGTGCGAGATAGAGAAATAATGTTTTGAAAAATATTTGAATTATGAAACGAATAACAAATAGTAACAATAACTACATTACAAGAGCTATACTAACTCAAAAGAATGTATTAGTTTAATAACTGATGACTTGTATCTTTACTGATGTGTTTACCAATAAAAAGTGATATGGTTTTATAACTACATAAAAATTGAAAAACACTTTTCTACACAAACTTTTCATTTACCAAGTTGGTGTCAACAGGAGACAATATAAACTGATTATGATGAAGGTTAGATCATCATCGAATGACGCCAACTTCGTGAAACGAGAAAAATGTCAGTTCAGGTGTGTCAAAAAGGTAGTTTCGTTGAATATATGCTAGAGCTGGGTATGCTAGAGGCTCCAATTTCAATCATCATTCAAATCATCAAAATCGTTGGAATAATTAGCATCGTTTTGTACCACATTAATCTTTGAAAAAATAACTAAATAGATCTATTTGTCATTGCGAAATATTTTGAAGTAAAAAGGAAAATACAAGTGAAGTTGCAATTTGAAAATCCTGATTTTTAATAATATTCATACCTATACCGTGTAACCAGGTTAATCTCTCTACCTTCGATATTGGTAAGTTATTATAATTATGCACACTAATAGTAGTGTGCAAATCGCATCTTAATTTTCGATCAAAAGTTCAATTAGAATTTTCTAAACAAAATGATTTTCAAATAATCCATTGGTTTTTATGAGCCGTCCTTTACTTACCAGTGAACGAAATAAACCTATTTATTTTTGTTTGAAAGTGGTTAACAATTTATTGTCTGTAAAGTTTAAAAATATTTCATTGTATATTTTATAAACGTGTTATCAATTACTTGTAATGCCCTGTTTGGAACCTTTGGTGTAGTAATGAATATTACAAGAATTTTTCCAAACATCAAACCGTTATTTTAACACCTCGACACGTGTTTCGATCACTAAGTGACCATCTTCAAGAGGAAGATCAAACTGATATTCCTCTTGAAGATAATCACTTGGTGATCAAAACACATGTCGAGGTGTTGAAATAACAGTTTGGTGTTGGGAAAAAATCCCAGTGTTATCAATTACAAAAAACAAAATATTTCAAATAGTATTGATAGTGTAGTAATACTTAAGAGAAAGCCAGTGAGAGACAGATCATTTTTTCAGAGATCAAATTGAATTTGGATAAATATTTAATTAACGTGGCCCTTACAATATAGCTCAAAATAGTTTGAAGTAAAAATTTCTAGGTTTAGTGCAAGCATGTTTGATCAGGTATCACATGAGACCTTGAATTATCTAGTGCATCAGAAATATTTTTACTTTAGTCTATTTGCAAAGTAGGGAAACGCAAATTGGAATAGCTAAGGTTTCAAAAAATTCGGTATTTACCATCAGGCGAATATGGGACGTTAGGATTAAGCGGTTGACTAGAACTTGGAAAATGTGAGTCGCCTAAATTTCCCACACCCATATAATGTCCATGATCACTACTTGGAGATTCTTGCTTAATAATTTTATCATCCTTATCACCTTTTTCTTTATCACTGGAAGACTTTCCATCGTCTTGCTTAGCTTTTCTTTGTATCTTCTTCATTTTTGCTCTTTGATTCTGGAACCAGACTTGAACAACTCTCACGCTGAGTCCTGTTTCTTTAGCTAAAGCTTCCCTAACTTTCCTGCAAGGCTTTGGACTAACCTCGAAGGAGGCTTTGAATTGACGTCGTTGGGCAGAGGTGAGGATCGTCCTAGGGCGTTTGGGACCTCGTCTTCCATCTCTTGGTCTGAAAAATAAAATTGTCGATACATTACATGGTACATTACAACTGTCCCTACTTTTGAGTTAAGAATTTACTATTTTTTTAGTTGATATACAGACTGTTTTGTAAGGTACTATCGATTCCGAATAAACCTAATTGACGATTTAAATTCTTTTGTAGATTGATTTTCTATGAGAATATTCAATAATGTTATCAATAACACGTTATCAAGATTGAGTCACCTGAACAAACTGACATTACAAAAACCTTTTTTTTTTTGTTAATTTTACTTAAAGAAAACTTTTCGTGTTTGATGTGAAATGCAGAAACTAATTGTAATTGTCCTCGTCTAGTTATTGAAGGTTTAATGCTCTCAAATTTTACTTTGTCTTTAAAAAATATTTTTAGGAAAATCTAAATTGGACAGGATATTTATATGGTGAATAAAGCCGGACCAAGAACAGATCCCTGAGGATCACCATATATAACAGCCTCAGGGGAGTTGAGTGTTTTTTTTTGCGACAAATAGTTATGGATCCAAGTGTAAAGCATTCCTTTTATTGTATTTATCGTATTGAAATATTATAGCTCTTATCTAGTATCACATTATTCACTTGACTCTAGTTCAAGAAAAATTTTCTCATTTTAAGGTAAGTTAGATTTTACAATTTTAGTTACAATTCATCATGATAACTTTTTTCATGATTTCGAGATAGGTTTAAGTTTGGCAACTTTTGATTTATCATCAAAGGTGATAATTTCCACTTTCTTTTAATACTGTCAGACTCAGGAGATTCTCCTCTATTGTAATGACATATTTATAATTTTGTTTACATCTTCAAAATCAGTAGGTTTCAAATATATAGAAAACAGTTAATATTTTATTCTTCTTCTAGACGGAGCAGCCTCTTCATTCGTGAAGAACATGAAGAGTCATATAGTAAGTAAACTTTTTTGAGTTGTATTGCATTGGAAATCTCATTTCAATCATTTCAATTCTTGAAATGATTTGTATATCAAAGCAATACTTTTTTTAATAGAATGAGATCATGATCATACTTTCTGAAAGTGTATTTACAAATTTAAAGAAATTAAAATGTTTTAGTTCCTCAGCACCAATACGGTGTANGAAACAGCTACTTTCATATAAACAGTGAATTACACGAACAAAGAAACAACAAAGAAAGAAAAATTCTTTCGAAACCAATACTTTTATATGAACACTGAATTTCACCTATTCTCATCCAACATGTCGTCGTCCCCTGAGCTGGCTTGTTGCATGAGATACATCTCCTTTTCAAAGTCTCCTCTGCAAAAAAGTTGTCCGGCGCGCAGGACGAATTGTTCACCCTTTTGCAAGGGCTGGCAACACACAACGCATACGAAGCAGGGAAGGTGGAAAACGTGCTGCTGTGCCCTCATCACCATTTCGTGAGGCAGGAGCCGATCGCCGCATCGAGAACATTTTACTCCGAATATCCTAAAACACAGAATGTCATTTTATTGTCCCATAATTCTAGTTGCTATACATATTAAGTATATACGTGTCTGTCTGTACGACCGCGATGAATTCAAAATCTATTGGAGCGATTTTCATATGCTTTTCACTAATGTTCGGATTGATTCACCTTGCTTTATATACCCCTAGGATAGGTTCACAATATTCCAGAACATTTCACAGCATACGAGTGTTCTGGAATGACCCGGAATGATACTGAACATTCGATAACATTCTTGTGACTGAAATTAAGACGTTGTTTACGAGTTTCAATATGATTTTTTCGTGAATCAAATATCCTTATTTCAATTACACTACAGTTTTTGATTCATTACGCTTAGATTTTATGATAGTATGGGATTCAGTTTATACGGTGATTGTCAAAAGTGATGTAATAATTCTATAAAATCGTTAACAAAAATATTTTAAAAAATGCTCAGAAACGTTGATTTTCATTCCATGCATTCGTCTTTCATTTAAAGAAATAATCATCAGCATTTATTCTTTCGGTTCCAGAAAACATCGTTTTCATTCATTTCTTTCTTGAATCGTGAAAAACTAACAGACTAAATTCAAAACATTGTATTTTATAACTGATTTCGACACACTTTTTTGTTGCAGGTATTCAGTATAAAAACTCATCAATCTAATTATCACAAGGTGTACTTCGCCAATTTAGTTTTTGAAGTTGGGTAGCGAGGGGAGGTGTTGAAATCTAGGTTTCAACCTAGATTTCACCTGCCCGATTTTTTTTCTGAAATATTTTCATCAACGGTTTTATAGAATTTACGTTACCTTTGGTAAGCATTGCATAAAAATCTTTCAAAGCATTTCCGATTTACCTCATCGTGAAACAAATCAAGTTCACCGCTTTTAATATCTACCCATCTTATCTTCCAAACGATAGGTCTGATTCGGATAATTTCAATAAGGATCTACATGTACATAATGAACCTTGATTATTAAACTATTATTTGCATAGGAATCAATATTGTTACACCAATATCTTCATCTTTCAATTAAACTGTTTGACTAATTTTAATTGAAAACTGGTAGGTATTGCGATTTAATTGTAATATTCAGACATATTATATAGCTTCGCAGCTTTTTTGTGAGTAAGAATAACGATAAATGTGGCCATTATTATTCGTGAGAATAAAATTATCCTATGACTCATAACAGGAATAATTTAAATTGAAATTATCATATTTTTAGGAGTGAATAGTTTTTGGGAAAAGACGTTTTTGGCTTTCTACTACTCCATTTTATACAAAAAATGTGGGAATCTTACAAAAAAAGGAAGGTAGCCATTAATTTAGAAAGAAGTAACTCAGTACATAGATGTGTAGGTCATGCAAATAAGTAACTTGCACACACAAACTGGAAGAAAAAACCCTCCTGAAACAGCTACTTTCATATAAACAGTGAATTACACGAACAAAGAAACAACAAAGAAAGAAAAATTCTTTCGAAACCAATACTTTTATATGAACACTGAATTATACAAAAACACTTTTCTCTACTCGGTTCGCATTCCAAACATTCTTTACGAAATTGAATCAGATACCATTCACAGGATTCCTACACAATATACTAAATGAAAGGTAAAAATTTCAGTATTCAAATAAAAGTATTTATTTCAAAAGAATCCTTGGCGTGTGTCTATACCTGCAGGACTCCCCATATCTGCACTGTGAAGTTCGATGGAAGTAACACTCCACGTCTTCATATTCGGTCGTGGAAGATGGTTACCGCACACGAAAATCTTGATGCCGCTGGATCTGAATATTGTTTTCAACATGCTTCTCATAATTCTCCAATCCAGCCTGTCGAGCCCAGAGGCTAATTTCGGGATTGCCAAGTCTACGAGATTCTGGTCGAGCATCGTGTTCCTCAGTCTAGTAAGACTCCTCCAGATATCTTCATAGGACGGTTTGTCTCTAGAATGCTTTTTGGTCACCAAGTAGATAACGTTTCTCTGACCCTTCTTCAACTGTAGCTCTCCTTCGACTTCAGGATTCTGTTCTCGTAATGTTTGGAGCTGAATACCACAGCGATACCCCTGGACATTTGGAGATCCTCTGCCACGCAGTGAGTTAGTGCGTAATCAACTGGAACCTTGAAAAGGTGTCGTGGCTCAGGGGCGACTTCAGATTTGTTACACTATGTAGATCATGCAAAGTCGAAAACCAATAACAGCACTAATTATTTTTATGACAAAGGGGATTCTATGAAAACAGATGTTTTAATTGCTAATGTTACGTATAGTGACACTGATGTGAATGTGATTCTGAAAGTGCAATATTTCCTGATATTTTGAGTAAGTGTTTCTGCTCAATTGTCATAATGGGCTTCGGAACATAATATGGTCAGTGACTCCCTAATGATGTAACTTTCTATAGGTGACTTTTTGAAATCGTACAAGTAGTTTTTGGGTTCATATGTTACAAGTGAACTATTTTTTTTCACTTATAGTATTACTTTATATAATAAACAAAAAATATATACGTTACAAGCCGGAACTTGTGAAACAGTGCCTTAACGCTTTTAAAGACATTTTATGCATCAGGCTCGTATTTGACAAATTTATGATGGCTCCACATAAATCATCATCCATGATGGAAGACCAAATCTTGTTCCTTTATATTAGTTTGAATTCTTTTAAAAATTTCAGAGTTATTTCCTTCTCGCCATCCAAAATCACAATCACGGCCGAAGCATCCAACCAGCTCACTTCCTCTCTCATGATTTTGAAAAGAAACGCCGCGGAAGAAGATTCTTTATTAGAATCGACTGCGCTTTCTTAAATATTCGTGTTCGCTTTCATACACGGACGATATGAGTTTCGGAAAGCGTCGAAGCGGATCCAATAAAGCCATTCATGGCGTCTTTGTGTAAAAATCCGTGGGGTGCGTTTGTACACGAGTCGAGGAGCTTTCTGCGAAGTGAATCCTGGGATGAGAAGTAATATTGCTCCGTTATTGGGGCACCCCTTCCCTTGTTTCATGGTAGTTTTACCTCCGCTATGTCTGCTGGATCACTTGAAGATATATTTATTTATTGGTAAAATAACATGAATTCAAAATTTGATGGCATTTCTTGGGGTGTTCCGTGATAGAGAATTATGTGACAGATTAAAATTCGAATACGATTTTCTATGCAGCCAGTTACTTTTTTTATTTTTATACTACTATAGTTTTAAAATTTTCGTTAAAGTAATCCAGAGAAAATTAGTGAATAAACATTTTTCTAAAAAATGTAGAGCAATCAAAAACAAATTTATTCTGAGAGTCAGAGGAATACGAAGATTCAAGTGGAGTATTAGTTCATTGAACACTTATTTCTGTTCAATGTGCTCATCCCAATAAAATAAAAATGAGACGATTGTTCAGTCTTTCTGTGACAGTAGATGAAGGCCAACTTTTTGCAGATGATACTTCTTTAATGATTATAATCGAATGAAATAAGAAGCGGTGCAATTCAGGGACCTCTTCGGTCATCCGACTTCAGTCCTTTGGATTTTTTTGTGGGGACTTACACGCGAAGTAAACTTGACTCAATGAAAGACCTGCGGAAACGAATTGTTAATATACTCTTATGTCTCACACTGATACCGCAAAGGCTTCATAATGCACGACAATGGTTTGAAAATGACCTGTATTGTATGGAGGTTGGCAGACTACGTTTCCAGTAATATATTAATACGGTGAATTTTAAAGTAAAATTCACCTAAGTTCTGCATTTTTTTGGAAAACCTATTGATGACATTTCAAAGCTTCATATCTTCTAAACGAGGAAACAATTTAAAGAAGAAAGCATCAATGGAATCCGACTGGATAGTGTTACCGCTTGTCGGGACAAGAAAATTCCGTCTTTCGTCTTGTGTCGACTAAATCAAGGATAAATTTCTCTCTCGTCTTGACAAGAATACCTTTTCTCTCGTCTTGTCTCGACTAAATGGAGAGGAAATTTCTCTCTTGTTTTAACAAGAATACTTTTGTTGTCGTCTTGTCTCGACTAAATCAAGAGACAATCTCTCTCTCGCCTTGACAAGAATACCTTTTCTCTCGTCTTGTCTCGACTGAATGGAGAGGAAATTTCTCTCTTGTATTGACAAGAATACCTTTTCTGTCGTCTTGTCTCGACGAAATCAAAAGAAAATTTCTCCTAGTCTTGACAAGAATACCTTTTCTCTCGTCTTGTCTCGACTAAATGGAGAGGAAATTTCTTTCTTGTTTTGATAAGAATACCTTTGTTGTCGTCTTGTCTCGACTAAATCAAGAGACAATCTCTCTCTCGCCTTGACAAGAATACCTTTTCTCTCGTCTTGTCTCGAGTGAATGGAGCGGAAATTTCTCTCTTGTATTGACAACAATACCTTTTCTGTCGTCTTGTCTCGACGAAATCAAGAGGAAATCTCCATCTTGTCTTGACAAGAACACCTTTTCTCTCGTCTTGTCTCGACTAAATCGAGAAAAACTCTCTCTCTTGTCTTGACAAGAATAACTTGTTTCTCGCCTTGTCTCGACAAAATCGAGAAAAAGTGTGTCTCTTGTTTTGACAAGAATAACTTTTCTGTCGTCTTGTCTCTACTAAATCTCTCTCGTCTTGACAATAATACATTTTCTCTCGTCTTGTCTCGTCTTAATCAAAAAAATTTTTTCTTTTATCTTGACAAAAATACCTTTTCTGTCGTCTTGTCTCGACTAAATCGAAAGAAAATCTCTTTCGTCTTGATAAGTCTGCATTTTTTCACGTCTAGACAAAATTGAGAGAAAATTTCTCTCACATCTTGACAATAATACCTTTTCTAGCAGACGTCGAGACAAGACGAGAGTCTTATATTTGATACGGATTGAAATAATATAGTTGATACTTGACAAGCTTTGTACCCAGCTGTACATACAACTTCTACGAAAAAGATAATCCCCAAACGTTTCGACTGCAACTACGACAGTCATTTTCAGTGGCGTGGCCGAAGTACTCTTCTTGACGTGTCAACTCAAGCTAAAGCTCTCATTTCTGCCGTGTCATTTATGGTGATGATTTTTCGCGCACTTTCTGTAATGGCGGGTTCGCGCGTATTTCCCGCGCGATTTGGTTGACTTGGCTTCGTTTTGGCACTTTTCGATGCTGTGTGCCAGATCTTTGGTAGATGTGTTCTCTCTTTCTTTCTGTTGACGTTTGCTTGGTCTTTGTGTACATTTCTATGGCTTCTGAATATATTCTTGTTGAATAATGATTCGCCGTTGCTAGCCTCTCGGTGTTTTCGAACAGGATCTTGTGTTCCCAGTCAGACAGTGCATGTTCAGCGACTGCAGACTTCTCCAATGAAGGAAATATCGGAGTATCTTCAGCAAAAGACAGCAGCGATCCATTCAAATCAGCGGAAGTTTACAGGATTCCATGTAACTATGGTAAAGTCTATATCGGTCAGACGAAAAGAAGCATTGGTAACCGCCTAGTTGAGAACAAGCGGAGTTGCCGATTGGGAAAGGAATGACATATATTGCTCTCCATATTCGGATTCTATTGAAAAATTATAACTTGATATAGAATTGTGTAGGTTTATATCGCGGGATTCAGAAGTTATTTAAAAAGTTTGAAATTTGGATGTATCCATCCGTTCGTTTTTCATTCCGTAGATTTCAAATTTGTGGACACTTATTTAGACAATGAACTTCCGAACCTGTAAAATTCACCAAGAAACACTGTCAACTATAGTCAAACAAATATTTGAAGTAATTCCGATTCCGATAAATTCTACACTACTCTACAGAATTCCGATTCGAATAAATTCTACACTAAATGTTAAGTGGAGCTCGTAGGTTCACAACACAAAACTGTATCAAAATCCGTTGAGTCGTTTTTGAGGTTAGCGTTTACAAACGCATAGATGAATAGACAAACAGGTGAACAGACAAACATTGAGATTAACATTTTTATTATATGTATTTATCATGAATTAATTTGGCGAATATACAAAACAATTTGGGATCTATACTTTGGCGAATACGAAATTAGATCAAAATTTGGCGAATACGCAATTAGATCAACATTTGGCGAATACGAGACCATGTAATATTTGACGAATGCGATACCATGCAATATTTGGTGAATGCAATGTTAAAATATTTGGCGAATGCACAATTAGACCGATATTTGGCGAATGCAAATCAGGTCAATTTTTGGCGAAGTGAAAGGAATCAAAATTTGGATCAAATGTGGATAAATTGAGAAAAAGCGATATAATCGCTCAAGTTAGGAGAAACCAATGTCTATTTTATCGTTTATGTAATTTTTAAAATTTAGGAAAGTAACGGTTTCGTCAAGAAGGTTAAATTTTACCAAACAAATCTTTTTTCCGGGCCTTATAAAATATTAAAATCTGAGAAAACTTATCGAATTGGAAATCTGTAAAGGCCATTCAGTACAGATTTGAAAGTGGCCAGGAGAAAATGTGTTTTTGTAAATATTTTCCTAAATAACGCTAGAAAAAATAAATTGAAACAGGCAAATTTTGAGTCTTCAAATATATTCGTAATTATTCAAAATCCATGTAGGTTCTTTAACCTAGATTCGGTGCTGATGAGGTGATAGGACGAGTGTCTTATTCCGAAAATTCGAAGTACACCATTGACGATAATAGTGTTTTATATGAGTGACATATTGTATCAAAACTCTTTCATATATAAAATTTTAGTGCGTTCCTATCTGTTTCAATTTTGTAACAAATGCTTGTAGTACAAACTGAATGGGAAAAAGTGATTTTCGTGCAATTCAATGTTGATGTTTTTTCGAAAGAACTTTCCTCATGGTGTAATTCAATGTTCACCAGAAATTGTTGTTTTGAAAAGTTTTTTGCTTTCATTTTGAACTGAAAGAAACTTCTGTGAATGATCTGCATATCTTTGTAAAAAGTTCATATTGAAGTCGATTATTTTCTTCAATCCTTCGGAAGTTCCGCATATTTTTTGTGTAGTGGTGAGTAACAAAGCCAAAGGAATTTTTCCCACTAGTTTTGAAGTAATTCTCTAGGTTTCCTAAAAAATCAAAAGTATGCAGGTATAACTATAAAGTAATGAATTTGCTCATTTGTTATTGGACTGTAAGTGTTGAGTTATGGTTCATTTCCTACTTACTCAAAAAGAGAAGGTCATATGAGTTATGATTGTTTTCAATAGTCATAGAAAAAATCACTCGTAACTATCCTTGTGGTTGAAGCGATATATTTTATCTGTCCTTGAATACGAAGTGTAACCCCCAAGGATGCTATCGTATTCCAAAACACGTGTCGCGGTTTTTTACACTTTGAAGTGGAAATCTCACACTAAAGTGTGTTTTTTGGATACGGAGTGTAACTTAGTGTGTTGATGAGTTGAAAAATTTACATCAATATACATGCGTTATAGTAAAAAGGTTGTTTGAAAGCTCACAGACGTTGATTTGAATAAACTTTGAGGTGATTCTAATTCGTTTGAATCTTTCGTCTCTCAGAAACATAACACAACTTACCTATCGTAGTCAGCCTTGCAATATAACTTCGTGTTCCTCGTATAGCATGAGTGCGTGAGCAGAATCCCGCAGATCGAACAACAGAGACAGTGTTCGTGCCAACTAGAATCCGCCACTCGCATCAGGTACCGGTCGTGGATTTTCTGGCCGCAGCCCTCGCACATTTCGTAGGTTTTTTCACATTTTATTAGACCGCCATCTGGAACAAATTGAGGATTGTATGAGTCAGGGATTCCGGCATTTTCAGAAATTGCCGAAGGAACCAGCATTTGGCGGCTGTGTCGGTTTTGGCGAAGGGACAGGTTTTAGATATAAAAAAGAAAGAAAGGAGTTGCTCATATATAAATTAGTTAAGTTATCTTAACTCTACTATTGTCTACTTATTACTTTACTGAAGGAAAGTGATATAGCCGAATTTACCAATAATATACAAGGAAAAAAAGAAGTTTTGACTGCATTTCGACAACAGTAGATACCTTTCATTGTGAAGGCAGTATCGGAAAAATAGTAACTATTTTGCTGACACTCATGATAATTTGGTAAATGCCGAATCTCTAGTTAATGTACAGAATACACTGTCTATACCTATCTCTAAAAATCACGTTGTCATTATAATGAAGAAATAAAAAGACGTTGTAAAAAGAAAACCCGCATTTTTCATATGAATATCTTGCATATTGTTTTAAGAACAACAAGAACAAGAATATTAATAATTCTGTTCACGCTTCAAAAGATTTAATACAGTTTAATCAAAAACCAAAATTTGAAAAAAATCATTGATATCTTAGATGTTTCTGAGGACTTCCGATTTTTGTGTATTCTCTGATGTGACTATCAATAATGAGCGAATATGAAATTCCAAAAAAATATCATGATAAAAAATTATATATTGATTTTTCATTTAATTTCACAACCATAAACACATTTATATAAAAATATGAAATGAAATAGAAACGCAAATTTATTCAGATATATTTTTCATTAGACATGGAACTAGATCTTTCCTGAAATTCGAGAAGATTTCCTAAATTCACCGATGAGACCCCACCGATTGATTTATCTATTTGTCTATTCAAAAATGTACCGTGTTTCTATTGGTTGAAGTAATTCATTGGAAATTTTCTGTTGACTTGAAGATCTCACTATGAATTTACTAGTTATAAATATGACTTCCTACTGAAAACCTTCTTTGCAAGTTGACCTTTTTTGACTTTTTTTTCAGTTTTGTTATTTTACTGAAATCATATGTATGAAAAATCGGTATTAACGTAAACATAATAATGACGACATAATCTATTAAGTGACAATCCCTTCATTAAGGAATGAGAACGCAACATTTTCTGTAACTTATATAATTATTTCTTAGAAATTTTGGTTGAGATGACTACTCATTGAACCTGAGCTTAGTTCAAATTTGTTTCTTATAAGTATAAATTTGTTATTGTTTTGACTATTAGTATTTTCAAAAGTTTCAACAGTTTTATTAGCACACTGACGACTTGTACTTTATCTACTCTCAATTTCAACGGATGTGAAAAATATATTTTAACAACTTAAATACTTACCCAGCGGATTGTGGAGATTGTTATTTTCACACCAAGCTTTTTCACACTTAATCAGTCCATTATCTGAAAAAGAATTTTGAAACTATCAATATGTTCATGGATGAAGTTTTTGATTGGAATACTGAAAAAAGATTTAATTTCATTTTTAAATATAAAATGGCGTCAAATATCTTAAAAACATGCAAAGATCAGTTGAATGTTATCGAGAATTGGTAACAAATTTTGTATAAAATCTTTGAGTTCAGTTTGATACTAAAATGATTTAGGCAAGTAAATTTCATGTATTCAATTTTTTCATGAATATATGAGGCACAAAACTTTAAAACAATGTTTCTTGTGTCGAGAAATAATTCATTTGTACAACATTTCCTTCTGTTTCTTCTGTTATGTTCTTCTCTCTGACTTGTCTCACTGTTTCTATTATAACTCCATTTTTTCAGCTGTTAATTCGATTTGAAGAAATGGATACTAAAGATAATATACTCGAATTATCGATAATATTCCAGTGATAGAATGTATCAACTAGCAAAAGTTTTAGACACTAAACAATTATTTTTGAACATCTTGATAGTGAAATAGAAAAAAGAAGGATCTAAAAATTACTATGTGCACATATATAATACTCGGAAAGGAGATAACCACCTCGCAGTGCCCTTCGTCTCTAAAACAATATCCCAACGTTCATCAAATTTCCTCAAACCCAGAGTATAGAATGCAGTTCCCAGTGAACTGAAAATAATCAACTCGCTAAGCATATTCAAGAAAGAACTGAAAAATTGGATTTCAAACCTACCTAGATCATTCACCCATCAACTGTTCGATATAAAGAATAATTTCTGAAATAATACAATAGCACCAAAAGATTGTTCTTCTGAAGGTCTTCGTTTTCATTGTAGACTTAGTTTTCTTCAATGAAAAAGTATCGATACTATAAATCTCAAAAAGCTTCATTTATATATGTGTATAATAATTATAATATCGTCTTTATTATCTTCTAATACATTTGAAGCAAATTAATCATGTACAGTTCATTTATTATAAGAAGATAAAAGGCGAAGTTCAATTTACATGATGACAAGTCATCATTCAATTGCTCTTCCACTAAACCTCAAGTGTATATGTATATGAGTGTATATGTACATATGTATGTATGTATATGAATACGGTAATTGATCTTTCGTCAACACGCATGCCTCTTTATTCTTTATTATTTTCTATCAATATTTCCTTTCATTGTTCCACGACAAGCATATGTTTTTGTGGATTATCACTTATATTTATTCATTTATATTTCATTTCACGATATAATACCATGTAAATTATGTACAAAAATGTTATCAATACCATTTACCCACCTGCTCAAATTATTATGTATTATATAATTAACTCTCATTGTTCTAGTGAATGAATATATCATTATTATTATTCGATTTGAAGAAAGATTAGAGAGGAAAACCAATATGTCTACTTTGTTGCTCGTAAATATGAAAACTCCTATGTTATTGCATTGAAAAATTGTTTTGATTATCATCTATTTCTGTTAAATTCGTTTATGGTACATTATGCAATTGAATAAATGAAAGCTAAGTCGTAAAAAACATATATACACAGTTCATAAAGAAGCATTGAATAATATGTACAATTTTTCATTTTTAAGTCTCGAATTCCGTTCTCCCAATGTACACAAAGTCTCAGCGCTGGATCAATATCTTTCAACCCTGTCCGTGACAATTTGTCCAACCATCACACTACCATCTTGGAATACATCAGCTATTCCGTCTCTAAAAGCTTGTAAAGCTAAGGTTAGGCAACCCGGAAGCTATCTAATGACTGAATCTGATCTTGTCTGCCTTGGAACATCGAAAACGTTTTCTGGTTTCGTATAATGAGTCGTCAGAAGGTGATTAGCGGTGCACTGAAGATTACATTAGGCAACCACCACTACACGAACGATTGAGTGTTCGCTGAGCCGTAACTCCGTTACTTAACGTTACATCGACGTTTTCATCCCGAAAGTATCTCCACCCACGTCTGATTAGGATGCTTGACTGACTCCGTGAGTGGGTCTTATCTGGAGAGGATCGAGCTTTTGGGTGATGATGTCTATTGTAACAAATTAAAGAATTAACTGTCTTAAACAAATTCATTTAAAACAATATTTCACTATCACAAACTAATTTATATTCAACACTTAGCAACTAACCCTTCATTTATTTCCACTATTTGAATTCCTTGTTTAACCGCTCGATTCACTTTCTGAATCCAACTCCCTCTTGCGACGAGGAGTCGAGCTTATATATCGGTAACGATCATTCTAGAATTCCCTAGTTGCTTCGGTACTCAACTGGAGTTCAACCGGCGGTTGCCGACTGCATTCCTTTTGCGGGGATGTCATGTGTTTGCTTGCTGGACGGCATATCGGTCAGGGGCGGCTTGAGATTCTTTACATTGCCCCCTTTTTAAAGACGTTTCGCCCCGAAATGTTATCCTTGGCGTGTGTCTATACCTGCAGGACTCCCCATATCTGCACTGTGAAGTTCGATGGAAGTAACACTCCACGTCTTCATATTCGGTCGTGGAAGATGGTTACCGCACACGAAAATCTTGATGCCGCTGGATCTGAATATCGTTTTCAACATGCTTCTCACAATTCTCCAATCCAGCCTGTAGAGCCCAGAGGCTAATTTCGGGATTGCCAAGGCTACGANCTTTGAAGTTGTAAGAGGTTATGTCCATACGTATTCTCATGACATTAGTCACAAATCAGTTATTTTAGACTAAAAAAAATAGTCTTAACGTATTGTATACTACACTGAGTTTTATGAACCTGATTTTTTATTATCTACTGTAGAACAAAAATTCTATTCAGTTATTTATGCGTATATATTTATAATGGCATAATTTGAGAATACTTGTAATTTCTAGTTTTAGTGAATTCAAATAAAGTTGAGAGATCATGCTTATATGCTTTTCTGAAGTGAATCGACACAAATTGAAAAATACCTGTTCGTCCATTACACTCAGGTCCAGGCATGCTGCTCCTCTCCGGTAACATCGCGGGGTTCAAATTCAAATTGGGGTAAAACTCCAACATCTTCACAAACAACAAGTATGTACTTCAGTGTAAAATATCACAAAATTCTCGACGCAACACTCAAAAGTTGTACTACTGTTCGCACATGCCACATGGGGTATCTTTTTCCACTGAGTATGCACCAGTGATGTAAAGCTCACTACTATCCCTCGTCGGTGACAGGATATACCATGGGGTTGACAAGCACCACCTACAGGGAACGGTAAGACGTAGTGTTTCTGTCTTTCAACAAAAACACGCCCCTTCACGCTGGGCGGGACTACCGGCTCTCCCCTCCAATACAACAGGCATGCGTGCCCTTTCCTGCGATGTTTGGATTAGGATTATCCCGAGTCCCGAGAGTAGTTCTAGTCGGTGCCTGTGTCTCAGTTTGGGATTGGGTTCATTTGATATTCATTTGTGGATTAAAATATTCTAACCTTACTGGCATAAATGTTCAGGCGGGCTCAACTGTTCAATTGCTATGCTTCTGGTAGGAATGCATTTCTGGGTAAATTTTGAGTTTCACTTAGCTTCAAATGTATGGTTGGTGTTTTTTGGAAATGGATTTAATTTTAACATCCACTCAGTGCGGTATACTTTTTTTAGAGCATACCAAAATATCATAAAAAGAGTTACTCTTTGTCCATTTTTCTATTGTTCCTCAATCTATAGTTTCTAATCAAACTTTAATGTCTGCATATGAGTATTCCAGAAAATGATAAGGAAGAGAGAGTTTGTTGTTTTCCATTTCAGGCTACTAACAACTAACCTACAAACAGGTACGGGAAAAACCTATTTATTTTTAAACTTCGATTGCTTGACTGTATCCTCTTTATATTCAGAGATATTGTTAATTTATTTCCACGAAAACTCTGAAAGGACTATCTATCAAAATACGTTCATAAAACCTGTATACAGTCGTCCAACTAAGACCTCAACTTTGCTATTTTGAATATGTACATCTACTTTTGCTATTGTTATTAATCAGCAATGCTCCTTTTTTTAAGAAACTCATTTCTCCTCAATATTGATGAAAGTTTCGGCAATTTCATGATCAACTTATAAATTTTCTGCCGCCATACAGTACTTACCCTTTTATTCTTTTTAAAATGATGATCACAAAACTATTCAATGCTCAATTCTGATTTAGATGAATAGAACATAATCATGTTTCGATGTCGCTAGCTAAGGACTAATCTTTTTAGCAAAGTTACGTAGTTCATGCGTCAATTTATTTTATTCTTTCCATTTCGATTATTCTGGTATTCAGTGATGAGCAAAACAGAGAAAAATACCTATTGTCAAATGATAATAATAATAATCTTCATTCAATACCTTCAGATCACATACAGTATGATATAGGATACGTCACAAATAAAAACCATGAGATAGTAGACACATTAACAATCAACAACATTGAAATATCACTATTCAACAGGTTTGTACTCATCTACATAGAAAAATTTATATTAGTGTGAAGTTAGCCACAGTTTCCTAGCCACACTTTCCGACGTAGGGAAAATTATATGCGTGATAGAGGAGCAAACACGGGCGGTGTGGTCAGATTTTCTATTTTTTCTGTCTCTGATGATTGAAATTCATCCAGGGAATAAACTCAACCTAGAAGAAGACCATGTTTCTGATACAATACTCAAAAAACAGTCTAACAAATCCGTGAGGAGACTATCGATAATTTACCCAAATGATTTCGAATGTCAAAAATTCTCATATCTCTCAGAAAGAAAGATATACAAATGATTATATAATATAATTACTGTCAAAACAATGTGTTTGACCGTAATAGGCGAGAAAAAAATATTTCTCCACAAGACCATCAGTAAACTAACAGAAATATTTCGAGTGCCAAAAATTTTTGTATTTCGCAAAACTGAAGACATATAGTTGAAATTATATACAGGGTCAAAACAATTTGTTTGGCCGTAATAGGCGAGGAAAAAAATAATGTCTGACAAGACTTCAACTAAAGTACCCGAAATGTTTCGAGTGCCAAAAATTATTGAGCTACATGGGAAAGGAAACTTATGGAATGTTATATAGACAGTGTCAAATCGATTTGTTTGGCCGTAATAGGCGAGGAAAAAAATAATTTCTCAACAAGACCATCAGTAAAGTAACAGAAATATTTCGAGAATGTTTGTATTTCGCAAAACTCAAGACAATACATGGAATCGTTAAATTTTTATATTTTCGAAAGAATTTATTGTTTGGAAAAGAAAAATTCTGGTTGAGTTACTGTAAGAACCCCAGATGTTGATGGTATATGATATGTGGGAGTAGATTAGAGCATGATATACATCGATGACCTATGTTCACTTTTTTGGTTATGGCATCAATACCAACACATTTCACTATGTTCCAAGGAATTCCATAACTTCAAAAAGGTGATTTGTTTGAAGGTGGTTGACAATGTGTCATAATGAATTTCATTAGTTCGGACTTCCATTGTCTAGCATGATATAAAATGATTTGAAATCCCTGAAAGAAACAATAAAATTGAAAATCAAAGTGAATAGCTAAAAATAGCAAATATATTAAGCAAAATCCCCAAAATTAAATTAAATAAAATACAATAAAAAAATTGATGATTGAACAATCAGAAACATATAGAAAATAAAAGATTTCAAGCCAAGTTACTTCACGACGTTTCGATTGTTAGTGTCCACAATCGTCTTCAGGTGATGACTGTCATCCCCCATTTACGACACTTGTGGAACATGTGGAAAACTTTCGATTGCGATTAAAGATAATATCTAGGATATAATTTGGAATATTTATTGACTTACTGAATACATGTTTTGTTGTAACAATGAGCAGCGTACTATTGCATGGAGGTCAGTGGAAGTTACTTTGAGGATTTTTAATTCCCTCCTTAATTGGTATTAGAATCAACTATTCAATCTATCGTTACGTTTATAGTATCCTATATATTAGCACCCAATTTTTATCACTTGATCAATTACTAATTTATGAAGAACATATAAAATACAGGATGTTTTCTACCTACGGTACGAAACTTCAGAGGGTGGTTTCTGAGATACAGGGCGCTGAAGTTGAAAAAACGGTATTTATAAAATATCATAAATATCCTTACACTGGTTTGGTTGAAATTTGCTACAGTTATTTGAAGTAATAAGGCGCTTATTTAGCCAGAACTAGATTGGAATTACCAGGTCCAGTGGCGTCTCAGTGGGCACCACAGCCAAGAATATTGGGAAAAAAGAACGCTGATTTTTTTGTAGTTTTTTATTTTCTTAGATTAAGCAACTAAAAATAAAACTTTTTTGTCGCTTGTATTTACTTCATATCAAGCTTCATTTTCGAGAAAAAAAATCACTTCTAAAAACTATCCATGGACAACATAAAATAAAAACCAAAAGTAAATAATAAACCATATCGACCTCAAAGTGAATAAGCAAAATGTCCACCTTCAGATAAAATACACGACTGCAATCGATTTGTCATTGATTGTCTGACACGTTCAAAATACCTGGATTATTCCTTATGGCATTGCAATTGTCAATTATTCGATTCCTCAAGTCATTCACATCTAGTACAGGAGTTTTATAAACAAGAGCTTTCAGACGAACCCATAAATACAAATCCAGAGGATTCATATCAGGACTGCGAGCTGGCCAATTTTGAAGTCCTGCACGTCCAATCCAGCGATTAGGGTAAGTGATGTTGAGATGCTGACGAACAAGAACACTAAAATGAGCTGATGCCCCATCAAGCATAAACCACATGTCGTCTCTCATAAGTACCGGCACTTCAACAAAATGAGTAAATGATCTCGCAAAAACTCCGTATACTATTCACCTGCTGATCTTGCTGGTAGAAAAATGGGCCAATTAGATAAGCATCAATCATTCCTACCCAAACGTTCAGCGACAATTGCCTCAGAAAATGGCTTTTCGTCGGGTCAAAAATGCTCATTGTGAAAGTTCATAATAGCATCTCGTGAAAAATTTGCTTCGTCCATAAATAAACTATTTGGTAAAAAATTATTGTTGTGCCATCGTATGAATAAATCATGCACCTGCAAAACATTAATATGAGGTGAAAATCCCGAGGCAGTAGAACTTGGAACTTCTGTTGTTGATATGGGTGTAGGAGGTTTCTCTTTAGAACTATCCATATGGTTTCTGGGCCGACTTTCACCTGCAGTGCAATCTTCCTGGTACTGATTGAAGATTCTTCTTCTATCGCATCATGTACCTCTAGCTTCTACTAGTTCAGGTGTTGTTACAGTATCTGGCCTTCCAGCACCTGCATTTTCATTAAAACTCCCAGTTTCACATAATCTTCTATGTTTAAACACATGGAATTACTCTATTGAGAAATCTATCCTGGTAAATTGACCTTGCTTCTTGCTTCTTCCACATTTCCATTTGCTAATCCATAAATATAGTGCATGTCAGCCATTTCAACGTTAGAAAAATCATTCATGATGCTTCTTGACACTGACACTGCTAATTGACAACTCTGACTGTCACTGATATGACAATACTATCACTGTCAGCTGGTCTCTAAAGCAGGTGTCATGATATGCAAAGGGGCTTAATTTTTTCTCGAAAACGAAGCTAGATATGAGGAAAATACAAGCGACTGAAAAAATATATTTTTAGTTATTTGATCTAAAAAAATAAAACCAACAACAACGAGTCAGTGGCATACTTTTTTGCCAATATTGTTAGCTGTAGTGCCCATTGAGACTCCACTGGACCTAATATTTTCAATCTATGTTTTCTTCAGTCCATTTTTGTAAGAGCCATCACGTGACAATAATCTCTAAATTGAAAAGCTTTACGCAACATAACATAGCTATTAAAAATATTTATACAAAAATGTTTCCTGGTCATAAATAATCAGGCTTGTACGCTGTCGCCTTTGGTTACAGTATCGATCCCACCTTGTAAGTTGTTGCGGAACTCCAAGACCGCACAGAATCTCTCGGGCAGCGAGAACTATGGACTTGAATCGTTGGGAATGCAGACGCAGGTGTTGTACGTGCCCGATAACCACAAACACTTGTACTTTGCCCACCTTCATCCATTCAACGGACTGGCACTATTGGTGTCAGCAATATCGTCGCTGCTACAGTTTTGTTTCTATTATGTCGTCTGCGAGCATGGAGTTGATGTGAATTAGTTAGCAAAACT